TATGCAGTACGATTGTCGTTATATGCAGTGCGTTAGTCGTTATATGCGGTGCGTTTGTCCTTATATGCAGTACGTTTGTCGTTATATGCAGTAGGTTTGTCGTTATATACAGTGCGATTGTTGTTATATGCAGTACGTTTGTCGTTATATGCAGTACGTTTGTCGTTATATCCAGTCCGTTTATCGTTATAGGCAGTACGTATGTCGTTATATCGAGCTGTTGTTATGATCTACCCACAATTCAAATCACTCTTATCGGATCGAAGTTCCTCGCAGCCTGACGCCGCCATTTTGTTTGTTTTCGCGGGAAAGTTGAAAGCTAAAAAAGCTAAATGGAGGGCAAAATGGATTCGATGGCCAGCATCCTCAAACGACTAAAGTTAGGTCATTGAACGGAAATCTTCCAAAGGGAAAAATCACTCCATAAATAGTTTCACATTTATCCGTGCATGAAATGAGTCAATTAGGTGTGAATAACAGGGATGACATGATGAAGTTACGAATGGAATGCTCAACTTTCGGAAACCATACGCCTCAGAGAGACGTTTTGGGCTGTGGAGCTCCTTCGTTCAATATCCCAAAGTCCGTGCTTGAGTATCATTTACAAGAAGGATTCTAGATCAAAGATATTGCATAGTATGTTGTCCGTGCCTAGATGGCAGTTGGGTGCCTACAAGGTTGGCCCCAGATTGTATAGGTCCAGAAGCTGATGCTTCCAGAGATGGCACTTTAATGTCTGCAAGGTTAGTCCCAGTTACTGCATGGGTAGTATCAGATGCTGTACCAGATGGCACTTGGCTACTTCCAGGGGAAACCCTGCGTGGAGCAGGGGTGTCTAGAGATGCACCCTCTGGTGTAGCAAAGGGGGCCACCCCTGAGAGCGTAAGATGGCAGGTTGGCAGGTGATGTCCAGCATCAACCACTTCCTCGTCAAAACTAGGTGATGACTCAGCAATATCCTCAGTGGGATCGCCATAAAAAAAGGTTGCAAGAACATTCAAGTAAGTGGGCCCTGAGTTCATCTACTGGAAAATCACGTTGGCACCACATGCATGTCTCCTTCAGTTTGCACCCTAGGGAGTTTTGTTGGGTAGATTTGGTTCGCAAACTTTTATGAATAGGCCTCAAGTAGATCTTGGTTTGTGAGCTGAAAACAGACTTCAATTCTTTCACGGACCAAGTGGTCTTGACCACGGTTAGATCTCGTGCATTTGACGAACAACTAAGGATCTCAAACCCCTTCGCTTCCTTCAGTCGCGGAAAGTCCGTTGGCTCTCCATTATCATCCAATATGTCGCTTGTCAGCTTTTCTTAGTTAACTTCTACTTCACTGTCATCTACAAAGAAACGAATTTTTTTCAGCCGTAAACCAGCTTGTTGAGGGACCTGTTTTTCAGCTGAAGAAGGTGCTCTGCATGCGTGCCGATCCGCCAAACAAACGAACTGTCCTGTCGATGTTCGTTTGGAACCTTTCTTCGTTTGGCCGGCTCTCCCAGCATTAGCACTTCGACCACGGTTAGCGCCACTCTGATTATATGGGCGGAAGAGCAGCCTCTCCTCTTCTCCCTTACTTGCTCCGCAGCAGATGCACTCGACCCGGATGCATCGCGATCAAAAGAATCGACATCGTTTGAGTCCCCAATGCAGTCTACGGGTCCCCTGCACAGTTGTTTCATACGAATTCGATCGTCCATGGTCGCAACCCCTAGGCGAATTAGAGCACTTTCCGACATGGCCAATACGACATGTGGATCCACTTTTTCATCGTTGAATCTTTCCAAAAGGGTATTAAGCCCCAATTGCTCAATGATGGCTTCCATAATAGCCTTCTTTTTTCGATTTTCCCGCGAAAACAAACTTGGCGGCGTCACGGTGCGAAGAGCTTGGATCCGATGCGCGTGTTTTGCATTGTAGGTAGATCATAACAACGATTTGATATAAAAACAAAAGTACTGCATAAACGTCAATCGTACTGCACATAACGACAAACGCACTGCATATAACGACAATCTTGCTGCATATAACGACAAAAGTACTGCATCTAACGACAATCGAACTGCATATAACATCAAACGTAGTGCACGCGCATATTACGACAAACGCACTGCACATAACGACAAACGCACTGCATATAATGACAATCGAACTGCATATAACGACAAACGTACTGCACATAACGACAAAAGCATAGCTTATAATAAAGAAAATTGACATAAGACAGTCCTGGCGTTCCATATGCGCATGTTTGGCGTTTATATGACGTTTCTCGATCTCGTCATTAATCCAATGAAGTATGGGGTAAGAAATAGAGGAGTTCGGAACATGATAAAACGTTTCATTTGGCATGAACAGAACAATTCCAATTCTGATTTTGCTGAACATGTTCATGTCACACATATTAGAAAATTGACACAAACTACCGGTAATTTTTATACGAACGGTTGTAAGCAAGTTTTGACACAAGGTAATTTAGTTGTCAGAGTGATACGAACAGTAGGTCAACATAACTATAAACTCAGAAACAAATAAAACTCTCAAATCAGATACATTGTGGTTGGTTTGTATCGGCATATTTACTATCGTTTTAATGGCACAAGGTCTATTCATCTGGCTATACTATTTTAACAAAGCTATAAAATGAAAGAAGGTAAACAACAAGGTCAGTTCAAGATTTTGACAGCAATAGAAAAGGAAAAAGATGAGCTATTCTGGTGATATGAATCACTCTTTTAATTATTCATTGATCGTCAGTCGATAAAAAGTTGAACTGTCCTTTCCCACATCTTGCAATTCTAAACGACTTTTACAATTTAACAAATAGATTTCATGTTACCACAGTTGGAAAACATAGAATCTATTTATTTGATACGATAAAATGCTGTTCATGGTGACATCATCTATGCGTTTGTCCCCAAATAGATTATAAGTAAGAACCAATCAAATTGTGTTTAGAATCGCATTGTTGAATAAAATCTCACTTTTAATCGGTTAACGAAGCGAGGTATTTAGCGTGGAATTGCGAGTTGAAAACGAGGCTAAGTGATATTGTTTCGCATCTACGTATAAATAACAACTACAAGTAATGCTGTTTTCTTTTTTCTTTTTTTTCTTTTTTTTCATTCAATAATACAAGTCAAGGAAAATCCATTACTTGATTCATGAATTCCGCGTTAAATTGCACTTGAAAACTGATATCGCACTTATCACTTCGCGATTCATGCGATAATGGTTTTCGCGTGCAATTTAATGCGTAATTCCCTCGTCAAGTAATGAATTTTCCTATAGAATTTAGAAAGCTTATAAGAGAAAAAAGAGTGAACTCATCATTTTAACGAATCCACAAGTTCAGTGCGTAGGACTGGGATGGGACACGATTCGCGTCATAACCAAAGTCATATTCATTTGTGCCACCATCTTCAAAAGAAGCAGCATTAGCTTCTGTGATTCCAATCCCGTGATCTGCACGTGAACAGCTACTTCCTCCTCCACCAATCATCATCACTGCTCCATCACCAGAACTCCAATCACACCAGAAGCCGATGATGTTAGCGCTTTGGATGTTTCCACTGCACTCAGCCTGTTGAAACCCGTCTGTTGACTTGTATTGTCCGCCATATTGAATCAAACAGTTCCCTAGACACTGATCACTGGCCCAAACTTTGCCGTTTCTATAGTCACCATAACTTTTGAGTTTAGATCGGAATGTTTGTCCGGCCAGACAGTTACATGTGGTCTGTAACAGGGGAATGTGATTGGCGTCGTCACTACGTGTAACTTTAAGCTCATTTCCGCTGGTCAACCAAAAGGCGGTTGAGATCATGTCTGCGTTTGCAGAAGTGCTACTTGTTGTTCCCATGGCAACTTGTTTGTCGTACCACCAATAGCCGTTATCAGCCATCCAGTTCTTGGCGTCTTTGTTAGAGAATCGAGCGATCAGAGTCCATCCTACATTGTCGGCTGTAAAATTATAAAAAAGGAACTATCATCGACTCTCTTTACTTAGAAATAGTCAGAAAGAAATTCCAAATCGAAAAGGCTGAAATTGATTGGGAATCTAACTGCGAAATATTTGAGAAAAATAGCAGCTGATTGTAAAGCACCTAAATAGAGCAGCAATGTATATATGCTATAGAAGTAATGTTATTATTATTACTATGAACTTAAACAGGTGAGGTCTCAGGCTTCCCTAAAAAACCTCTCTCAACCTTAGAATTTGGAAGTAAAGACTTTTACGCTTGTAAGCTGGTTACTGCACTGGTTTGTACAATTTGAATTTTTAATTGGCTTTACAGAGGAATGAATGCTTTTTTGACTACTTATAGCTGGTAAGTATAGGACGCTCCATGACAGAGCAACCAATCAGAGATGAGCAGAATCACCTCTTGACTGACCTGGTCCAATCAGAATCAAGGACGTGCGATGGTGTATGTGTGAAGTCACCTCTGTTTTAAATTCATTACTATATTCTAGTTGGAATAAGTACCTGTACATGTTTTTCCATTCCCAGTAAATCCAGTTTTACAGGAACAGCTATGAGAGCCGTATGTATTCTGGCAGCCGGCGTTGACATCGCAAACTTGAATGGAACCACCACATTCGTCAATATCTGTAGGAAAAATAAAAGACCAAACAAACAAAAGCCAAGTTATAATGTTTTAGGGGATTTTTTGGGAGGGTTAACTACACAAATCCGTAGTACCGTAAATCCTCTATTAAGTTAAGCCACCCCTCTAATAAGGCACCCCCCCTCTAAAAGGAAGAGGAAGAAATTTACTAAGCCCCCCTCTTTTAAGCCACCCCCTCCAATAAGCCCCACCTCTTTAGAGGAAGAAATTTGAGAAAAAAATGTAAAATGAGAACAATTTTTGAATAAATACGGTACATCATATCTTATTGAATCCTGTTAGTGAACATCGGGTTAAATTAATAAGCACCCCCCTCTATGAAGCCCCCCCCCCCTCTAATCCGCCAACCTCCAAAGTACCTGAAATGAATAAGCCCCCAGGGAGCTTATTAGGGGATTTACTGTATATAAAAATCAGCAAATTAGTAAAATTAGCCAATATTTAAAAAGTTATTATCAACTGACAGACTGATCGATTCTAAAAGGAAAGAATTGAAAAAAAAACAGTATGTTATATTCGATACAGTTTACAGACCTACGCATGTTTTTCCATCCCCGGAAAATCCAGTTTTACAGGAACACTGATACGAACCATAAGTGTTGTGACAATTGGCGTTCACATCACAGACGCGAATGAGGGAACTGCATTCGTCAGTATCTGTAGGAAAGTAAATCGACCAAGTTATTAGAGACAATGTGGAAGAGAAATCCATTGAATTAATGTCATAGCTTGCATTAACAGATTTAAAGTCGAGTGACAAAGTTTCAGGGAATTGTTGGTGGTGTAACCCCCCAAAATCAGTAGTGCCTGCAAACTATGGTAAATTCCACAGAGATTTAAAAAGTTTTTATTACTAACGAACTGATTTAATAAACAAAATCAAATTGAAGACGATATATGGTTTACTGACCTTTACAAGTTTTTCCATTCCCTGCGAATCCAGTTTTACAGGAACAGCGATAGGAGCCAAAAGTGTTCACACAGTTGGCGTTGACATCGCAAACCCTAATGGAACTACTACATTCGTCTATATCTGAAAGCAGAAAAATATGCTGTATTGACACTCTGATAGTCAATGCAATCTGCTGATGAGTAAAAGGTTCCGTTAGTTTCCTGAGCGTTCAAGCTGGCCTCGATTTTGTCCAACCGCTGAAGATTTGAAATATTTGAGGAGTCGAAAATGACTCAGCATTTCATTCCCCCACCGAAGGGGAAAAATTATAGCGTGAATAAAGCGAGGAACAGCAAATTAAACGCTAAAATGAAGATGAGGTACCCGTATCACAATGCTTCCCTGTGTAGCCTTTCACACAAACACACACATAGCTGTTCCTCTCGTATTGTGCAGCGCATGTCCCATCGTTTAAACACGGACAACTGATGCAGGATGACTGAAAAAATAAATGAATAAAATGGTATGTAAATTGATAGATAAATGTAAAAATTAAGAATGACACACACTTCGCCTCTTCCCTTCCTCCTCTAATTTTCCCTCGTTTGGAACCCTGAAACAAAATAAGTCCCATTATTATGAATTGTGAATTTTGTTTTGTCTGAGTATTGTTTCAGCTGGGGTCCGTTTCTCGTAGGTCGGTCCTGGGGCCCGTTTCTCGAAAGTCCCGGTAACTTAACGGGCCCGAAGCCATCTTTCAAAATAAAAATTTAAAAGATGGGAAAGCAGGTTATGACATCCAAACCAGTCCTTTTTGTTTCTTTANAAAAAGAAACGTTGCAAGAAGCATGGTGAAATGCAGGCTTTCAGTCGAAGATACCTCAGACACAAATAGTTTGAAAGAAATATTCCAGGAAAAAACAACCGCATGAAACAGGTGAAACGGAAACTTGAATTTGCTCTTTGATTAGTTATCATACTATATTTATGCCTCTTGTCGTGAATAATAAAGGATAAAGCATGTTACGTTCTTTGGCCCATTTTTTATTTCATTATTTTCTGAGTTGTAATGGGAATTTTTTCTCACCGATCACCTTAGGCATTCAGCTTGGATGATCACGATCGGTAGATACGGTCAAAAGAACGAACTTTGTTAACTTTGTTCATCAAAAGAGAATATTAAACAAAAAAAAAAACTATAAGGAGCTTTAAAAAGATTGGGTGCAGTTATAATTATAAATAGTTGTAACACTAGCATTTTGAGCTACGATGGATGAATAGAGACAATCTTGTTTTGGCAAATGGTAATGGTGGTAATGGTAATGGTTTATTAGATATGAATTCGGCACTAAAAAGAAATACTTCATATTTACAAGAAATTACAAAAAATATTTACAAATTAAATGAGACTGTATAAATAAAAATTGATAAAGAACTTCTTTATCAGTTCACGCTTGTTTCGAACAATGACGATATCCATTCGTTCATACAAAAACAAAACCCATGGTGCTGAGAGACCAGGTGATCTCTGACTTAATGTTTATGATTTGAATGAAATTAAGATAAAGGACCAATTTTGAAGGATAGATAACTTCCGAAAGGCCTTGGTTACTATAGAGTAATTTCCAATCGAGTGTCGAGATAATTAAGCAATAACACATGACAGAATTGCCTTTGATTTTTTTCGCTGCATTTTTAGATAGGAAACACGTTTCTCATTCTCAATCAATCGAATGCAAAATTCAGTAGAGTCAACCATGACTTGCTCAAGCAACTTTTCATACAACAGGGCAGTTAAACAATTTTTTCTTTGAGGTCTCCCTGTTCCTTACAATGTTTTGCTGTTTTGAATTGGCTGCAAATAGGGAACTTTAATTTTTTTTTTCCCGACAGAAGACGTTGCTTGAAAGAGGTTGTCGCATCGGGAGGGTGAAGTGTAATTAATAGAGTCATTCTTTAACTTCTCAGGCGAGGAATGGTTGATTATATAAACTATGGTAGATTTAAACAGAGAATGATAACACTCAGTTAACTGTACATTATTGGTTCACCGTGTTAACGTCGGGTTGAAACTGAAACGGGCCGTCAAGTTTTTTTGTTATCTATTGACCGCATCAGTCGCCGTGATTATGCAATTCAGCACTGTCTCTCTTTTGTCGCAACTTATCAACGGTAAAAGTAGATTGTTACAAAATAACTGAGATGTTATAAGCGCCCTGAGTGGTCAGAAATTAAACCTAGCGTTTATTGAACCGGTAAACCCAAAGTTATTTCATAAAAGCAATAGATCGCACGTAGTGACCCCGCACGCGGGATGTTGGAAAAACAACGTGTTTTCCCATTTTTCAGTGAAGACATTACGCCTGTAAAGCCATAGAAAGTGTGGTCTAATGCTCAAGTAAGTGTGTTAAATGTTGTAACAACATCAAATAGGCGAGAGGGAAACTTTAATTTTTTTTTTTATGATATTTTCTGTGCTGGAAATGCCGTAATAATTAAACGTTTTCCTTTTTCCATCTTGTGCTTCATTCCGTTTTGAAGGAATTTAATCGCCATGACCGCCAGAGGCATGCAGCTTACGCTAACAGCGTATGCATGAGAGAAAAGAGGGAACGCCAGTAATCGCAAATAACGACCATTTTCAGCAGCTCACCCCTGTTTCGGATAGTTAGGAAACATATATTTAGAAATGCTTATAATTGCTCACTCACCTGCCGGTGAATGATGGTTTGGCGATAAATTAAGTTCTACGTAGTTATGATACTTCAGAAATCCACACGTGTGCTTTGTCCATAATTCAAGTTCTTTTTTATCTTTTTGTGTCCTTTATCTATCCATTTATTTAATTTGCTAATTATAAGTTTACACCTCTTGAAATTCTCTTTGAACTAGTCATAGACGTAAAAACATAGTCCTCTGTTAGATGTTATATGAAACAAGTTTATTATTGAAAAGAAAGTACCAATTTCATTCTCGTCTCATCAACATCACTAGTATCATTGGGTCTCCTTGCCCTCCCACAATCTTTACCAAGCATCTCACATAGTGCGACAGGTAGTGCTCTGTGATTGGCCCAGAAAACTCACGCCATCCTCTGGACCAATCAGAAGTAAATCGAAAACCACTCGCGATTTGTCATCTGCGTCTTCCCGCGCTTTTTGCCGTTTGCTGACTTTTCATGGAATTATCATGGGCTAGTGATGAAGTGAATCATTTTGGATTGGCCGTTGAGATCACATAGGTTTCGGTTTTACGACACTCAGTTGAAAACTTCTCCGTACAGCGGAGTGAAGCAGAACCCATTAACACCTGAATTACTTTCGAACCTCAAGTTAAAGAATAAAAGAGGCTATACCCAGTAACTAGGGCTACTTTCTCGTTGTGGTCTTTGGCGTTCCCAAGCAACGTACGTACAATATAACTAACGTAATCTTTACAACAAGTGCAGTGATTTAGATTCCTCAAAACTCCTTCCTTTATCGTTAGAACAAAATGGAACGGAACGGGAAAAGAAGAAACAGCATGACTGTTACCTTTTATCGATAGAACTCTAACTTACGGTGGAATCTCTTCTTTTTTTAAGCACAAATTCAGTACGCATGTCGTAAATAAACGAAAACATTCGTCAGCGTCAACTTAGTCGAATCAGTTATGTGTATATTGAAAACTAATAACATATAATACTTAAGCAAACCAGACTTCCTCGAAATGATTTCCGCAAGGACTAAATAATGCTTGCGTATGATGATTCCAATAAAGCGAGATTCGACCACTACAAACAAAAAGGAATTCTGTAATTCTGAAAAACCCAATTTGATTCCTTTCTTGTTTTCCTGGATCATTGATCGATTTACACGTTTTTTTTCAATTTCTGTAGGTTTTCTAACCATACTTGACAGTCCGTGCTTTTAAATTTGCGCGTGTGTTTACGAAAGGCACAAAAAGAAGTTGACAGTCATTTATAGCAATGAGATGGCGGTTATTTTGCAGATCATCTGGCTTGCGAATATGTCTGTTGTAGATGTTGCTAGATGATATATGGAAATGAAAACATATTGGAAAATAAGTGCAATTATCTTGAAGGTTCCTGTGTGTCTGAAAATCCCTAATAACTTATTGTACATTAAAACGCGCAAATAAGTTTGTTTCCACAATCTTGTATTCTTTGTTAAAATAGACCTTTATTCATTAAGAGTGAAAAAATGAGATAGAAATTTAATTAAGAATACGCGTTGACAAGTCAGACCTTTTAAATAATACCAAAAATGGTAGTTTCCCTCATAAATACAGGATTTTTCAACAAAACTTAACTTTGTTTACTGGTGTTAAGTTTCATGGCCAGATGTAAATATTCATCACCACCCTACTGGGATACACATCTACGACCTCGTGGTGCTATTTTCGAGCGCAGGGCTCCTTTCGTCCTTAACTGCTCGTAACAATGATTGAGTAGGAGTATTTAGACCTCGATCTGTTATTCTCAAATGCTCAGATGTACCAGATTTTCCTTGGAAAAGCAAAGTCTTTGATATCATCGATATCGCCGACGTAAATCCCACAGTCACTTACTTTGGTGATAAATCAGCTCGGGTCATGATGGCGTCGACCGACATGAATTGCACCGCGAGCCCGTCGAAAAAAAATGGCATATTTCCTCCTTTAGATTATAGAACCACAACTCAAGTTTTCATCGAAGTGGCACTTGCTTCCACGATTCTTACATTGGCTGCTCTCGGGAATTTCCTGATGATTTTCGTCATGAACAGGAAGAAACAACTTCGAACCATACCCAACTTGTTTCTCATGAATTTATCTATCGGAAACTTTCTTCTTGCTGTCACAATTCTTCCTGTTTTTGTGTGGACTCTTCAGAGAGGAAAGTGGACTTTTAGCATGTTGTTCTGTGTTATTCAAGGGTATCAGACCTATCTTTTACTCGCCTTAACGTTATTCACTCTGACTGCAATAAGCCTAAGTCGTTACGTATTGGTCTGTTATCCCAACAGGTACCGGAAAACATTTGACAAAAGGCTTGTTCTGAAGATCCTCGGTTTTATTTGGGTCATCTGTACTTTGAGCAGTGCACCGCCACTTTTTGGATGGGGATATTACAGTTTCAACACGAGGACGGCTTTGTGCCACACAGACAACAGTAGTTATTCTTATAAAATCACCGCTAATACTTTCATGTTACTGGACATCATAATTGTAATCTTTTGTAATGTAAAAATCGTGAGAACGGTAAATGGTCATCGCAGAAGAATTTTAGAAAATGTGGTTACAAAGGAACTAAAAGAGGAAGAAAGCCAATTTAACATTGCAGGAGAAGCGGATACAAACACAAAACAAAGCAATAAATTATTCAAAGAATTGAGCTGTAATTCTCTTGATGGTCAGGGGTCTGAAAAGTTCCACGCAAATGTGCATCTGGGACTCTGTGAGGATCGTTCTGGGGTGGTAGCTGTGAAATTCGCTTTCTCGTCACAAAAACAGCGGTGTGTATTGAATGGGAGAAAAAGAGGTTTTAACACTAGAAATAAACTTGAAGGGACCGTTCATCTTCAACGAATCAACTATGTAGATCAATCAAATGCCGTCTGCCTAAGCAAGAATACTGCGCTTATGGAAAACGCAACGGAAAGCAAACATCAGCTGCAAACGAGAGAGTCACGCGGGGAAGATATTCATATAACACGAACCATCTCGCTGATTATTTTCGTGTTTTGTTTTTGCTGGCTGCCATGCTTTATCATGGACACTTTGGAGGCGTTCGGTGTTTTCCCGTCAAGAATTGTTCGAATGGCGGGAATTTACTTGATTTTTCTGGACAGTGTCGTATGTCCGTTTATTTACGGGGTACGAAACAGAAAAATAAGGAAAGCTGTAATGGAGATGCTAAGATGCGAGTGTTGCTGTCAATCGAAGGCTTTATAGATTTAATTATATTTGAAATCACCTGCATATGACACCATTAGCAAAGTGATCGATTATCAGAATTTGACGAGATTCAGGCCTGTAGACTCATGATAAAACATTGTTATGCATATGGTCTTTTTGTTTTTCAGTATATGGGAAAACTAGAGGATCAAAGCCAAGTGAGCTAAACGTTTATACGCTCTCTACACAAAGTTTGGTTAGCTGTGTTTGCATGTCTGTCAAACGCCTTCAATTGTTGATGGTGTTAATGAAAAAGCCTCGGTTTAGGTTTTCTGGTTATTATATCGGTTTTAGCACTTACCTTACATTTAATTGTTTTGGTGTCCAGTTTCTATCCCTCTGATTTTCTTATTTGTTACTCGAATTTTACGACTCAAATAAGCAATTTTTCGGATTTTGTCATTCGCCAGCTCGGTTTTTGGCCGTTTTACAGTCATCCGTGATTTTCTGTTCCCTTTTTTTTTTTATGGAAATTTTTAGGCCTTATTCCGTTCTCTGATGAGGCTCAATCAATTATTAGACAAAACTGATCATGAATCGAATATGAAGAGATTCAGACCTCTAGACTCATAATAAACCATTCCCTATTATAGGTTTTTTTTCTGAGTATGCACAAACTAGAGGATCAATGCCAAGTCAGCTAAAAGCACTCTACACCTAGTTTGGTCAGCTGCGATTGCATGTCTTCTAGCTTTTTTGTTGGTTCTTGACGAAGAGGCAATCCTTCTTTAAGAATATTCGCTACACTTTTCTGTATCCAGGCTGTGTTAAGGCAACAACAAAACCGTCTCTGAGCTTTCTGTACCGACCATTTCACATTGAAATAAAAAGTCTTAACACAAATCATAGCGGTAAGTCTTACTTAATATAGCAAAATCCTTTCTGAAACTTTTGACTCGCAGAGTGATTAAAGATTAAATTCTGCATGCTTAAAATTACAAGACAATACTGCTCTGAGAAAGTAGAAACTGGTCAACTGAAGAGTGCCATCGATGTATCACGGTTTTTGTTTTTTTTTTTGTTTTTTTTTTTTGTTTTTAATGGTTCGGGAAACGTATCGAGGGACTGCTATAGGAGTAGTGAATAAAAAATCAGATCTTGCCAAGAAAGAGGCTTCAGACTCGAACATGAAACAGGCAAAGACACAAACAACAATCCCGAGTCATTAATAACTGGCCATGGACATCAACAAATGCAATTTTTGCAAACTTTATCTGCTTTGGTAAAAGCGCAAGCCAGACAACAGGCAATGATTTCATCAATGGAACTTTTTCTTTTTGTTTAATTCATTTGATTCTACTTTACGAAGGGAAATATATAAGGTTTTTTAAGTAAGTACTGGACCTAGTGCTTGTGCATCAAAGATAAGCTTGAAAAGGTTTCCTAAGTGATATAATTGCACATTCTGAATCGACAAGCTGTTTCTTTAGATACAATAAGATTAGTTTTAAAAGCCAATATTTTCAAGTGGTCTTCAGGCTAATAAAATTTGATTTAACTTGCGTTGGGTTGCTCTTTTTTTTTCCGAGATAAACGCGGTTTGCTTTGCATTTCCAAGACTTACCGATCCTTGTACACGGCGTGTGCTTCTAGAATCTTAATCAGCTTTAAACTGGAGGTCATATGTGCGCATGCGTCGCCTTTCCTTAGTTTTCAGTCTCTCAGGGAATATTTTGAGATCGTTTTTAAAATAGTCATTCTTTCATTCGCCATCGTTGGACATAGATTTGACTTGATTATACTTAAAAGCCTGATTGACTATCTATCGCTTGAAATTGAGATAATAAGAGGATCTGGAAGGTGTCCGAAACTTCAACTTATATTAGCAAACCAAATTTTTTTTAAAAAAATCGTGAAATTTCGATCATTCTTGTAACTTTTTTCTCTTGACAAAGATTCTTCTTTCAGAGCAAGAATTGCTCAAATTTGTTACAACTTATAACAACCATTTTTGATATTTTAATTTTTTCGTTTCGCTCTATTTCTGGATTTATCTGTTATTTTTCTTAATTTTTTATTTCTTTTTTTATTTCTTTTTTTTTGTATAATCTTTTTTTTTTCCTCTGGCTCTCCTGTGGAATGATTAGCGAAATCTGCTTGTCAGACTGATTGAGATATCATCGTTGGATTTGCCTGGTTCTACTTCTGAACAGCAAAAGCGAGACAAGTAAGAAAGCGGCATTATCATTGGTCAAGATCAGGAGCGAAAGAGAGACACCAGAGAATTATCCGTGAAATTGAAAAAAATCCTTTCATGAAAAATAAGATGTTAATCTAGCTTGACTATATCGCTAAAAAAGCTTAGCAGATCTTATTTGCGCACTTTTATCGCCATGGGAACAAAAAAAGCAATCAATTTCCCTCAGTCTTCGCCTCACGCTGATCCACATAGAGCCGTGTCTCGAGGGGAATGAGCACGACCAACTGAGTAGTTCCAAGTTACCGAGACAAGCACGTGTTTAGGGTTTTCACGCCCGAAGTTACTTGGAAACAAAACGTGGTCGTCAATCACGTCGTGTTCGCGTGACATCCCAAATGGTCGTATCTTGCCATATCAAATTTTCATCCGCGGTTTTCTGTTTTCATCTTGTCAGGGTAAATAGGGACTTTAAGTAGTCAGAACGGCATAGCCGAGGAAGACGTCGATTAAAAAAATTATTTTCTATCTTACGTTAGAATTTCGAAAATGGCTGCATGTGTTTACCGTCTCCACTTCAGCATAACGCATCTAAGTATCTTTGAGTTTCAAATGGAAATTAAAATAATTTGCCGTCGCGGTTTCCATTTGTATACGACGCTAATTCATGGTGATTTCACGTTGTTGTTTTGTAGAGGACGGCTGAGAAATGCACAAAGTTTTAAAAACCAAGTACTGAGCTATTTTTCTGCCCATTAGATCTTTAGTTTTGCCACGTCCTCAGTCGTTACCGTCGGCATCGTGGTTTGCTTAAGGTCCCTAACATGTCAAGTGTGTCCCTCGAATCTTATTCGGAGACCTCCATCGGATGAAGGATCTTTCAAATGGAAGAAGAAAATCTATAGTCGCATTTACTCAGGAGCTTCGAACCTCCCATGGTCCTTTTTAATAAAAACAGCATTATTGTTTAAAACGGCACAAAAACAGAGCGTTCGCCACCTGC